GAGCATAGTTCTCTGCAGTGCGAGAGGGAACAAAACCCCTTAACCTTGCTGTCTGGTGCTGCGAAGCCGAAGTGAGGGGGCCGGCGAGGGTTTCGGGCTGGGTGGATGCAGTGCAGGTTTCGGGTTTAGGGTTAGGGTTGGGTTCAAGAATGGTTGAGGGTGTGGGTGATCAAGGGCCTGGAGTCTGGCGTTCTGACGGGTCTGTTAAACCGTATACCCCAAACCCTAACATCTTCGAAGCACTCTCATTTCACAATAATTTAGAGTGGCCTGACTTCCTCAATCCCGGAACCCGGTAAGCACTTGGGAAACCCGATAAGGGGTTCCTGCGCGGGAGGAACCCTTTATGTTGGCCCGTGTGGTAATTCTTGGAATCAACCTCCAAGTAACCCTTGTAGAACCCGTAAAGCGTCGCTTAAAGGAAGCTTAAAGTAACCTGGAGACTGCTTCTTCCGGAACTTTCACCGAATCCCAATGAAACTCTTCAAGCAGCTCTCAAAGGAGCCCAGAAAGGAACCCCCAGAATGGCCTTGAAGCTAACCCTCATAGAACCCTCAGACCTTCCCCTAACCCTGAAACCTTCCAGGTTCGCCCTTAAAGGAGCCCTTCTTCAAGCCTTAATAACTAGAATGGTTTTTTGGGGCCCTGTATACTATACTAATACTAAGGACCCCTTATGGAATAATGTTGGTATTTATTTAGGCTTCTATGTCCCCTGAAGCCTCAACCCTAAACCCTAAACCCCTGTAATTAAGCGAAGATCCCCTGAAGGCCGCCACCGGATCCAAGCGGGAGGCTGCAGGGAGAAAGAAGGCCGGCGCGGCCGGCGCGGAACCTCTGCAGATCCCGACCCAGGAGCTCCCTAGGTTTAGGGTTTAGGGTTTAGGGTTTAGGGTTCAGGATTTTAGGGGTTTTTCAATAAGGGCTACTACAAGGTTTTAGGGTTATCAATAAGGGCTACTATAAGGTTTTAGGGTTGTCTATAAGGGCTACTATAAGGTTTTAGGGTTGTCAATAAGGGCTACTATAAGGTTTTAGGGTTTTCAATAAGGGCTACTATAGGTTTTCTGCGAACAGACCTCGATGCCTC